ATTATTTAAACATTTTTTACATTAAACTTTTTTATCGATGAAAATCTATTCAAGAACATTTACTACCTTTTATAGTATTTTAACCGAAAATAATGGAAATAAGACATAAATGATTTTCGGAAGTTATATAATATGTCTTAGTAAGCAAAAGAAGTAGCTACAAAAGAAATTTATAAGATGTTTCTAAACTAAGAGTCGGTATAAACTTTCGGAGACAAAGCGAATACAGGTGAGTAGGGATGAATTCTTGAGGATATTCAGCATTGATCCCTGTACGCGCAGGCGCCGCTTTGCAAGCTTAGCTACTTCCATCAGTCGTCTGCGAGTCTGTTCGTACGGCGAACCAAGCAACACGGTCATCTATTTTCGTTTATCTGACCAGAGTTACCTCACGTCTGCGGAACTAGTGCCAGTCAAGGTAAGAAACTATATCATTCGAGAAACGGTCCAGCAGCTAATTCCGCGACACGATTGTAATTGTCTAGTAGAAGAACTCATTCTGACATTTGCAACAGACAACTTTGAAATTCACGAAAGTATTATTTTCTGTAACAAAATGTGACACAGATTCATACTTTTAATATTTAATCGTGACGTTTAAAATATGAATTATCGACAATATAAGTGTGCGTACATTAATACTTACAAAGATAAATAATAATTTTCATTTAACAAATATTTGCTTTTTTATCGCAATTTTACAATAGTTTGACAACATTTCTTCATTTTCAGCAAATAGACAGGCGTGGAAGAAAGTCCAATGTCAGCTCTTCTAGATGTATGTGGAAATGATACTGGCTCGCCATCGATATCAAAGGCCGAAGATAATCTGTCCAATAGTGATAGGCCCCTGATTAAGGGTTTTATTCGTCAAAATAGTTGCAGCAGTATACGTATGAGGTAAATAAAAAGATAATCATGTGTTAAAGATGCACATTAAATAATAATAATAATTGTGATTCAGCGCATATAGATCTAAAATGATTCGATTGCTAAAATTTAGGATTTGCAAAATTACGTTTTAAAAATTAAAGAACTAATTATTATTATCGTTACTTAAAAAGTAATAAATCGTTAAAATTTCTGTTACTTTGCTAAGTGATAAAATTTTTTTGTATCATTTACTGCCATTTATTGCGACTACATATATACTTACATGTATAAAGTAACGACAAAAATAATGATTATACTTTTTACACATTATTCAAAAAATATAATTACATTACCTTTCCAGGCAGCATTAAATATTTATAAAATATTTACAAAATATTTATAAGATTTATTTGAATATTTTATAAATATTTACCAAAATATTTCATAAATATTTTTATGACCTTAATTTCAATAGATCATAAATATTTATCATAAATATTATAAAAATATTTATTAAAATGTATACATTTATATACTTTTTTCTCTTTTCTGAACTTTTTAAAAATTTTTAAAATATATATGTTTTTAGTTTTCACTTTATATTGTTACTTATTATTGTTCACACGCTACTTAATTCAAATTAAAATTGTATTTCGAAAATCTGCTTATCATTGCCGAGATTCGAATTTGAGACCTCTGGTTCTTGAGTCGTTCATCTTACCTACTGCGCCACTGTACTTTATATTTATAAATATATTTATTATATATTTTCTAAAATCTCACAATATATTTTTTTAAGTTAAGAAATTATATTTAACAAAATATATTTTTTTAATTTAAAGACTTTTTTCTGTATACATTACCAATTTAAATTTCGATTTTCTTATTTCTTCATTAATTTAATAATTTTAAATAATTACATTTATTTTTTTATGTATACTATTTATGGAAATATTTACAAAATTACTACAAATATTTATTTTTTGTTTACTATAAATATTTATAAAATATTTATATAATATTTTTAAAAAATAATTCAACATAAATATTTATGAATCTTTATCATAAATATTGTGTGCTGTCTGGGTTTACTGTTACCAACAAAAAATAATGCCTTTACATAATCGTTATTAAAAAAAATTGATTTATAACAAAACATTATAGCATCAATTTATGTTATCAATTGTACTATAACTAAGCCATTTGATCATGCCAATATCAGTACTGTTGTTTTATGAGTGACTATTCTTCTCTTTACGTTATACTTAACATTATGAAACAATCTTGGCTGAATCGAATTACAATTAATTTTGGCAATATACAAATAACTTCTAATTTGAACGGCATTAATAGGACAATTGGTTCTTCGCGCGGCATGTCATCAATCAGCGAAAAATCCATGAAAAGGCGTTATTGCTTATGGACGTTGACTCTAATCTTGGCAATAATCGGCCTTTGCAATCTTTTCTTAAATATCACTGTCATCGCAGTTTTGCGTATCAGCCAAGGAATGGAAGCAATGGAAGTAATTCCAGATGAAAATCTCGTCAAGTTCTATGGAAGAACTGATTTAGATAAGGTATATATATATTGTTTGTCAAATACAAGATATTCCTGGTGTGCAGAGAGTATAGATTTATTTTTCCAAGTATTCGTGTGCAAATAGAACTCATTATAGAATTTATTCACTTAAACAAAAATGCTTAAAATTATACAAAAATTTAACGAAATATTTATCGTAAAAAATGCATTATTTAAAGTTTTATACAATTTATTTATATTGTTCACAAGAAATTTTATATTAAATATCGCAATTTTATACTTATAATAAAATATATAAGATACCCTAGTTCTCACGATTTTAATTTATACTGAAAATTCTCTGAGAAATTTTAAATTAATTTTTCTTGATTGTAAATTGTCGAGAAAACTCATTATTCATAGCAATTTTTCAATTTTCCACATAACATATATTTCTAACTAAATCCCACTAGGTACAACTAAGGAAAATTCTGCTAAAATAAAGTCCACTTAAATTAACAGCCGACATAGCAATAGATTTTCATAGGATATCCTAATTTGATCAGAATGGTCCCAGTTTGATCCAAACTGAAACGTAATCCATAGGATTACCTGAGGACATATTTCTTTGTCACAAATTATATCAGACATCTACGAATGTTCTATTTTAACTCAAAGCAACGTTAATCATTATTGATAAAATGTATTATTTTTCTTTATTAACACATATCTAACACAGACAATTTATATATATATATATATATATATATATATATATATATATATATATATATTTTAACATTATTTACATGTAAAGTAAGAAATTATGTTCATAAGAAGAAAAACAATCATCAACAAACTTTATTAACAAAGAATGTATAAAGAACGTCCCCAGGCAGCAAGCTGTCGTTATTTTGACGTCAATATGTCACCACTATTGGTCAATAACGTGATTTGTTCTGTAAGGACGTGTATTTAACGTCATGTTTTAACACGTCAAAATGACTTTGCAAAATGACGTTATGATAACGTTTAATTTACCATGTCATAGACGAATTTCTTTTTCGAATAAAAAAATAAGTTTGCTATTCTTATAGATATATTTTTATATAATAATAACGTTGCAACATTGCATATTACAGTGCAATATTGCAGAAACATAGTAGTAGCATCCCACATAGCACAAGATTTAAAAGATATCCCAAAGACATTCAGAGAATTGCTAAATGTTCGCATAAATCCTTAGAACATCCTAAAAATATTCCGAGGACTTCTAAATGTCCACACAATTCCCCAAGATATCCTTTCAAGATCTTATGCTATAAGGGATTAATTTGAAATATTACTTTAGCAACAATATTACAGCAATATTTAAAAAATATTACGAATATAATATAATATTTTTTTACTTATTTACTAGTTATTTTTGTTACTCAATGGGCAAACAATATTTAAAGAAACATTTAAAAAACATTTGAAAAGACATTTTTAAAACGTTAAAAATAATGGGATAAGTTTTCTTTTTTCATTAAAATAATGTTTTTTAATGTTTGGAAAAATGTTTTATTTTTTAATATTTAATAAACATTTATTTTAAAATTTAAAAAACGTTTTTCTAAATGTTAACATTTAAAAAATATTTTCTAGATGTTAAAATAAATGTTTATTAAATATTAAATCAAAATATTTTTCCAAAAAACGTTAAAAAACGTTGAAAAAACATTTTTTTTAATGGAAAAAAGGAAACTTATCTCATTATTTTTATTTCAGTTTTAAAAATGTTTCTTTAAATGTTTTTTTAAATTTTAATGTTTTGTAATGTCAGCACCTAGGTAAACATATTTTACATTAATATTTTATGCATATATCTCTAACTTCTCTTTTATTATATGAAATATTAGAATTATAAATAGTTTATTTTTCTGGTTGTACTAAATAATATTATAAGAAAATTATAATTAGTGCTTGCATATAGGGATAATAAAAAACACTCAGTATCAGTTGATCCTAATAACGCCGTAGCCAAGGTGGTGGACTAGGAACCTGAAGATGTGTGAGATCTCGAGTTCGTGTCCGACCAGTACCAAGTAAATTTTCAGTTGCGAAAATAGTGAGAAATCAAATAAAAAGGCTATATTTCATTGAAAATCAAGATAAGCTGACTGGTTGCAATCGTTTTTGCAAGATATATTTTTTTAAATCAGCATCATACGTCATTGTTGCGTCATTTTATATAAAAAAATGACGTCATTAAGTCATCATACATATGACGTCATTGGTTTGTGACTTAGAAAACGTGAAAAAAAAGTCATTGTTTGGTTAACTTGAAGGATAAACGACGTAAAATTCATGTCATTATCACGTCTGTCTGCTACCTGGGTTAGAATCAATTTTAATATGCAAGAACATCTTAAGGATATTGATAGGATCAAATATTGTTATCTACGCACATCCTACTGATATTCAATTATTACTTCCTATGAACGTTCAAAAAGCGGACATACAGATATCCTCGATATATTCTATGTATATATTTTGGTTTTTACACGGACGCGTTCTGGATATCACTAAATCCTTCATCATATATCTACTAGACATATCTAGGATCAATTTTTGCTATGTGGGAGAAAAAAAACAATTTCATTATTTCAGTTATTCAAAGTTTAGTTTGCAAAAAGCTCCACTTTTTTCGGTCGTTTGTATTTGAGAAACTATTAATGCCTTAGAGTTTTTGTTGAGATGTAGATGACAATTATTTCAATGCAATTTAGTAAAAAGTAATACCATCTAAATAACAAACGTTCCATTATAAATATTAGAGATTAAAAAATGTGATATAAAAGAAAGGATAGTATTCACTACACCGTTTTTGTATAGGGTAAGGTCGTCTATTATGAGATAGGCTCCTAATGTGAGATAATGAGGTTTCTGCTAAACTATTAGGTTGTTCGGAAAGTTCGTTTTATATTTTGCGCGCTCCGTGTTACTATGGTAATCAGTGAGAGCGAAGGCGCTCCAGAAGATTTTGTGCTTGTCCACAAACTTTCGCCATCTGTGAGCCCACTAAAGAACTTTCGTAAACTTTCTTAAGTGCAACTATTTCGTCAGAAATCAGTTTGAAAAATGGAGAAATAAAAAGTCTATTTTCGTCATGTGATGCTGTATTGCTTTAAACATGATTTAACGGCTTCGCAGACCCTACATGAGATGTTTTCTGTGTATGGAGATGCCTGTGTCCCTCACTAGACAATTCGGAAATGGTATCGAAGATTCGAAGCTGGCAATGTCAACGTTGAAGATGAAGCTCATTCTGGCCGGCCTCAGGAGATTGATGAAACGCTTCTTAAGAACCTAGTGCACGAAAATCCTCGAGTAACCGTTAAATAATTCGTCGACACTCTACACAAGTCCGTTTCCACCGTGCACGACTACTTTAAAAAACTTAATTTTTCAACTCAACTGGATGCATGGGTGTTATACGAAATGGGTGAACGGCAATTAGTAGAGCGTGTGAACATTTACGATATGCTACAACGGCACTAAAACGAATCGTTTTTGAAGAGAATTATAACAGGTGATGAAAGTTGAATTCTATACAACAATGTTAGCCGCAAGAGATCGTGTGGAACCAGCGGTGCGTCTACGCAAACAGTTGTCAAGCCGGGACTTCATCCGAAAAAAGTTCTTCTGTGTATCTGGTGGGATTTTAAAGGCGTGGTATATTATAAACTTCTATAGCCTAACGAAACCATCAACGCGGTGAAGTACAGTTTTCAGCTGAACGAACTGAAGGCTACCATCGCACGGAAGCGCCTTGAATTGACTAACAGGCGTGGAGTTGTCTTGTACGATAACGCCAGACCTCACATCGCAATGTCCATCCGTAGGAAGCTGTTCGAATGGGACATTCTTCCTCATCCTCCATATTCTCACGATCTTGCCCCATCTGACTATTATCTATTCCTCTCTTTGAACAATTTTCTTCAGGATAAAAAATTCGAATATTTGGCAGTACTCAAAAGTCACCTCGATAAATTCTTTGTCAGTAAAAAATCTTCATTTTAAAGCAAAGGTATCATGCAGCTTCCTGAAAGATGGGCCAAAATCGTTGAACAAAACGGTACATATTTACTTTAATAAAGTTTTTCTTTATGTAGAATATTGCGTTATAAATATATAATGAAAATTTGAAACAAACTTTCCGAACAACCTATTAATAAGCGTTATGTATCGGTTCCACCATAAACTTATTGCTATTGGAGTAAAAACCCAGATAGCCACCTGTCTATGAAGTTGTCGTCAAGTTGCTGAGAACCGTTGAAGCAACTATTTTCGAAAAAGTAGGGACAAGATGCTTCTACATTATGTTCGTTGAATTATGCTCACGTGTATTCTCCATGAGTCGACAGCAAGTTGACAGTAACATAACGACAACAATTGCTTAAATATGAATGATGTGCATATGATGGCATATTGTCATCATATACACATCATTCATATTTAAGCAATTGTTGTCATGTTGCTGTCAACTTGTTGTCGACTCATGAAGAATACACGTGAGCACAATCCAATGAACATAATATAGAAGCACCTAATCATACTAAGAAATACTGAAAAATTATTAGTAATTAAGTATTACCAGTAATTCAGTAATTTTTGGCCAGTACTTAATTTCTGGTGAATACTGATAATAAAATCACTGTTAAATATTGATAGTAATCAAATACTAAGAATTATTGTGCGAAGATGAAAAATGAGAAAATCATAATATTTAAAAAATATACTTATAATTCCTAATTTTCTTATGTCTCATAAATTCACTAGGTATCGAAGATTGTCAATACATACTCCGTGAATCTTCCCCTCGATAGTTTCGATCCCAAGCGGTATATCACCGGTCACCCATCCATGTCCTGATTCCATTAAAATGTTGCTTAATCCTGAGGATCGAGCGGCACTCCAACGATATTCTTACGATTTACGCTTATATAATATATCCTTATAGTATTCACTGTATGTTATAACATATCTAGTAAATACCAAATAATAGTCATATAA